TGAAAAACAAATATGTTAATGCCATAAATATCGTATGTCTAAAAAACATTTCTTAGGACAATTGCATGAAAAACAAAACAATGGTTGAAAAATTGTATCTTTTCATAATAAACTGAAATATATTAGTTTAAAAGTTGCATCTTTCATTATAAAAATAATTGTGTATTTTTTATAAAAAAAAATTGTTGAAAGGTTGTATCTTTTCATAAGAACCGAATTATATTAGTATAAAACTTGCATCTTTTTGTTATAAATAGAATTGTCTAGTTTCATAAAAAGTTATCTATTATTTTAAAAGTTTCATCTTTTCATTATTAAAAAAAGTTTATGTTTCAGATAAAATAGTTTAAAAGTATTTAAAAGAGGGTATAAGAATTGTGTCTTCTCTAAATAACAATTGTTGAAAGGTTGTATCTTTTCATAAAAAAAACTTAAATATATTATTTTAAACATTGCATCTTTTCATTATAAAAATAATTGTGTATTTAAAAAAATCTATTATTTTCAAAGTTGCAAAAAAAATTTATTTGAACCATTAGATGAAAAACAAAACAATTATTGAAAGGTTGTATCTTTTTCATAAGAACTGAAACATATTAGTTTCAAAGTTGCATCTTTTCATTATAAAAACTATTGTGTCTCACAAAAAATAATTTAAAATAGTTATAAGAGTTGTGTCTTCTCATAATAAAAATCTACTAATTATAACAATCTTGAATAATTTTAAAGGCTGTGAATGCCGAATAAAAAGAAAATTGAGACTCTTAATAAAAATGTCTATTAGTGTGAAAGGTTGAAAATACAAAATAAAATGAAAAGTTGTGTCTATTTAAAGAACTGAAATATATTAGTTTTAAAGGTTGTGTATGTTTTCATAAGAACTGAAATATATTAGTTTAAAAGTTGCATCTTTTTATTATAAATAGAATTGTGTCTTTTTATAAAATAATTTCTACTATTTTAAAAATTCTATCTTTTCATTATAAAAAAAGTTTGTGTCTCATAAAAAATATTATAAAAATATTTAAAAGAGGTTGTAAGAATTGTGTCTTCTCATAATAACAATTT